TAGAGGTGGGCGTATCATTATCATTAAATATCGATACCAGTGTCGATATTGGTAATAGATTTGACTGATAGTTGCACAACAGGATGTGGGTTTCTATCTCAGTTCAGTATGTAGCCCACTGAATTCTGTTAATGCTTTTTTTCTTAACCTTTTTGTGTTGACTGTTTCAAAATACATGAAAATTTGATACCTTGAAATTTTGAGTTATTAAGTGTTTTTTTTTTTTAGATAATATCCCACAATGTTGACTTAAGACAAAAATAAATAAATTATTAAATAAATAAAAATAATCTGTGGTGAAAACACGCCTTCATACATAGTTTAATGGGAGAAAATAAAAAAACGTAATAATAGTAATAAAATTAAAATAAAATAGTAATAAAAATGTTACGTATTCACCTTTACTTTTCCTTTGCTTTCCAAGACACACAAACCAACTGATGAGGTCATAGTTCGTGTGAGTGGTGAAGGCTAACCTAACCTAACGGTCGGAGGGGAGCAATGAAGCCGTGTAACAACCATTAGCCAAATCGTGAATAGGCCACCGTTAATCAGAGCAGTAACGTGCATTTATCTTTTTAGCTTCAGAATAATATGGCTATGGAAGCGGAGAGCCAAAAGGTGAGTGCACTGTCAAGTTTGCCCTTGCCGCTTTGCGAGCAATTATTTTAGCTAACAGCTAACGGATCTATGGTAAGTAAGTAATGCTGGGTTGTGTTATGTTATGCGATATAAACTTTATCACAGTTAGTTTTCGATACTTTTGAGCTACTTTATTTCCAATAAATTGTTGGTTATAATCTTAGTTTACGTGAAAAATACATTAAGAAAAATGCTAATTAACTTGGAATTAACTTGTGCAATATATATAACTTGGCAACATGCTAGCTAAACAGGTTAGTTCAAAGTAGCTAAGACGTTAACTACACTTTAATGGGGCACGCTGTTTACACCAATTAAACCATTTTTACCTGAGAAATATTAATGCTCGTTGAAGATAATTTTAAAAAGTTTGTGTTGTTTGAGTAACTTATTTTTCTTCTTAATTTGCACACAATCCTTTAAACTATAGGGAAACACTGAACAGCCCAGAGGCTGTTTCTTGTGTATAAAGGTTGAAGGTACATCTACTTTGGTTTAAGAACCTGCTGTTAAATTATTTATTTTGTTAGTTTTGATTAAGTGTTAAGTTTTAGAGCAGAATTTCCTTGTGAACATGGCTACATTCATTTTACGAGTCACGTTGTGTAAATAGAAGCGGAATTTATAATCTCTGGCCACTTTAAGTAAAGCTAGTTTACTCCTTAAGACACATATGTAATCAGCCAATCACAGAGCAAGTAAGTGACTCAAAGTCACGTGACAAAGTAATCCTGCTGCTGCACCTCTTGGTCTCAGTATGTCAGAAACTGCTAATCTTCTGGGATATTTCCACAAAACCATGTTTAGGATTTAGAGAAAATGGTCTGAAAAAGATAAAATATTCTGTGAGGGGGAATCTCTGAGTGAAAATGCCTTTTTGAGGTGAGGGGCCATAGGAGAATGAGCAGACTGCTTTGAGCCAAGAGAAGGCAACAGTAACTCAAATAAACACTCGTTATAAGCAAAGTATACAGAAGATCAGCTCTGAAGGAGCACCACTTTGAGCCTTAAAGCAGATGAGGTTCAGAAGCAGAAGACCACACACGGTGACACTCTTGTCTGCTGAGAACAGGAAGCTGAGGTTGCAGTGTGCAGGGGCTCAAGAAAACTGGAAAACCTTTGCCCGGGCTGAGGACTGTCCCAATGTCTGCTGCAGCATTTGAACAGTAGAGTCAGAATTTTGGTGTAAACAATGTGAAAGCATGGATCTAGCCTGCTGTGTATCAACATGATCATCAGGGATATTTTCTCTTGACACTTCAGGTCACTTAGGACCAGGTGAGCATTATTTAAACACCACAGCCTGCCTGACTCAATACTATAATGATCTCCACACTCACCAGATCTCAATCTAAAAGAGCATCTTTGGGATGTTGTGGAATGAGAGAATCACATCATGGATGTGTGTGATGCTGTCATGTCAATATGGACCATAACCTCTGAGGAGTGTTTCCAGCACTTTGTCGAATCTGTGCCATGAATGCAAAAAGGGGCCCAACCCAGTACTGGCAAGGTGTACCTAATAAACTGTCCAGTAAGTGTAGCACTTAAGTTTTAATACTCTTAATCTTGACTACTTTCTGGGAAAGAAATTAAAAAATCAGGCCAACCTCATTACATGTAGAGTTTCTTACTGGCCCAGAGTAAGACCAGTACATGCTGTCTTTGGGCCTGAGTGAACAGAGATATGTATTTTCCACTTTACATTTGCACAATAATGTACACATAAATACAGAAATTTTGGTAGGAGAAATAAAATAATTGCTCTTGGCTTGAAAGCTGGACATGAAACTTTTCATTCCAACAACTTGTTCACACAAAATTATATTTGGTGGTTTTTTTCCCAGAGCGGGGGCAGTTCCTCCCCAAGTGATGTGCTACTTCCAGATGATTATGCTGACAGCCTGACAGACCACAGCACCACCTTTGGCAATGTGATCCCTAACAGGATTTTTGTTGGGGGACTTGACTACAGGGTGAGGGCTGCTGAAATAATGTAGAACAAATGATTCAGACCATGATTTAAAATCTCTTTTGCAATGATGAACCAAACTAATGTGTTTCAAGGTTAATGAGCGTGACCTGCGACACATTTTTTCTCAACACGGCACAGTGAAAGAGGTGAAGATTGTCTTAGATCATTCAGGAGTGTCGAGGGGGTGAGTTCATTGTCTTTTTCCTCTCATACACAGAGTGCGACTGAATGATAAAGTATGCACAGCTGGTTTTCTCGGCGTTATTTACACATTTACTGTCACAGTAAAACACGCTCTGCCTTTTGTCTTTTAACAGATATGGGTTTGTTACATTTGAAACCCAAGAAGATGCTCTGAAAATCATCAACAATGTAAGTAGTTTAGTGTCTTGCTTTGGAATATTTCATGCATATAATCATGCAAGCAATCTGACTAGAATTTGTTGTTTGTACGTTTGTTTATGTGCTGTTACAGACTAATGGAGTCACTTTCAAAGACAAGAAACTCAGTGTTGGTCCGGCTTTTCGAAAGCATCAACCTTCAAGTCAAAGTAGGTTGACGGTCCAGTAGTGCAGGTGTTTGAACATGTAGATTAATTGTTATCAGCAGTTCTAAAATAATTGTGATAACTGGAGTACTAAATTTCAGGCTCATGGTCCAGCTTTTACAGGCACACTTCTTGTGATGGCTAAAGACACCAGATCATGGTTCTGTGGTTTCATTCTTTTCTCAGCAAAGAGCACCTCTACAGTCAGCCTTGAACCTGCCATGTCTCAGCAAACATCCTATGGGACCTTCTACCTGACCACATCCACAGGTTCTCCCTACACTTACCATAATGGAGTTGCCTACTTCCACTGCTCCAACATAAATACTCCTTCCTACCAGTGGCTTGTAAGTGCTCATATAACACCCATTTAACACTTTCAGTACTATGCAGAAGGCTTGATTTTATGCTGTTTGCCTCAGCTGGTAGTAGTTTGTGGTGCGGGTGTAGCTCCCACTAGTGGACAAACTAAGCAATGCAAAACTAACAACATAATAACATACACCACCATCCTAATCAGCTGTTATAAATGCCAATTTGGTTTTAACCAGTTTATCCAAGGGAGCTGGTCTAATAAGAGCTCATGCGTTTGTGGTGTCTTTTCTAAAAGAAACAAATTTATACCCACAAAGACCAAACTTGCATCTCCAGATATAGTTGCAGTAACACAGATTAATCAGAAGCTCTTTTCTAACTTTAAATATTTGCATGATTGATGACTTTCTTCCAGCCGCCATCTTCGCCAATGGTCCCCCATGCTTATCAGCCTGTGTATGAGCAACTATCCAGTCACCACTACCAGGTCAGCTCAGCCTTTCAGGGATCCAATCATTTCTCCCATTGGTGCCATTTAACAAGCACAGCAAGTTATTTAACAGCAAACCTTCTTTCTGCCTACTCTCACTCCAGTGCATGCCAAACCAGTATCAGTGGAATACACCCCAGGTAGGCAAAATGCAGCTTGACTTTAGCTTCAGTTCAGGAGCGTTTGGCCAGTTTTGACCTGTTCTTGATGTCTGTTCTCCAGTGGCAGATGCCATCCTATGCAGTCTTGTACCCCCAGCAGTCACAATATGTTTACCTGCCTGCTGATGGAGTTTCTGTTCAGCCACCTGTGTTGTTCATGGAGGACTCCACAGTGGAGGTGCAGATTCATCAAGGAAGACCAAAATGTTGCACATTTATTTAACTTATGTTTTATTTTGTTAGATAAGACATGATACATGACTGTAAAATGCCTTCGATCTTTCTGCTATATTTGTAGCTTGTGTGCAAAATCCGCAGTGTAATTTTGAATGAAGTAACGTACCATATTATAATTCTGTCATGACTATTGAGGAAACATGCTGTTCAGGAGGCACTTACTCTGTCCTTTTCTTCTACGCTTGCAGCTTCTTGAGCCAACAGTGCAGCATGTTTACCCAATGTATCCTCAGAGAGCAGAAGAAATGGCACCTGCTGTTCTGCAGCATGACCCTGGAAAGGTAAGAAATGGATATCCCTCCTGTAAGCCAGCTCATAAATAAAAGGTCCTCATAGCGTCTGTGCTCTCGTTGACATCATAAAGAGCCAAGAGGCAAAAAAAACCCTGCACAACCAGTATTTAGACCAGTCTGAAGCCTTAGCATCTGGTTCAGAGGGTTTAACTTGTATACTAACATGATTATTTTAAACTTTGGCCATGTTTAATGTGAACATCCATCATTACAGTAAAGTATATATGACAGTAAGTAAAGAAAATAATAATAGGTCTCTGTGTCTGAGTAGGTGAGTAGGCTCAGGTGCAGGTGATGAATAAGAGTGTCGTTATAGCTAGCACTCTTATTTATCAAAAGATTGCTTTCTCTGCATGGTGTTTCTTGGATGGTCCCAAGTTATAAAGATGCCAAAGTAAGAGTACAAGTTAGAAGGATGAAGTCTAAATGAGGAAATTATTTTCTTGCACACCCAGTGTCAGACTGTACCACTGCTTCTCCTCTGACTCTGTCACGGTTAGTGTAATAGTGCTCACTGAGTCATAGTGTGTTATTTTAATTTTTTTTCCTCCCTCTGCAGAATCTGAAGTTTTCACCCTCGTGGTTCCATCACAAGCCAAGACACCGCCGCCACATCCACCACAAGGAATACCACCATCTGCCAGAATCAACAGAGCCTCCAGACACCTCCATGTTTCACACTCCCCAAATGTCAAATGTAGGCTAAATCCACCGAGGGGTTTACAAGAGAAACGAGTTACACATCTAATTTTAGTCACGTCCTTTTTGCCCTATGGGTAGCTGATAAACCTCAGCCTTACAACATAATAAAGGTAAGCTTTCATCTAGTTGTGCAGTCAGATGACTGAGATTTACTGTTACAGTGGGGTTCTTTTCTTACGCTATATTGTTTGTTGTTGTTTTTTTTGTTTTTTTAAATTTAGGCACAAATAGTAGCTGTGGTGAAGTATCCCAGTAACAAGTATTTACTTTAGTGTGAAAACACATAAGTATTTATAGCATATCTTGACTTGATCAAAATAAAAGCTGAAGATGTTCATTTGCAGTAATAAGTTGTACCCTCAGGATTACAGTCATTACAGTCCAGTCATGTCTTTCATGGACTGAAATTTGGACTTCAACTTAAATATGAATTATATCAAATCTAACAGTAAATTTTATAATAATTTGTTCAATTCCAGCTATTTGTGCTTAGTCATTTAAAATAGACAAATTAGTTTTTATACATTTAAAATTGTCTGTGTGGTTTTATGACGTTGCTGATCGTCTTTGTTCATTTTCTTTGCTTTTGTTCTGTATTTTGCTTGAGGTTTTCAAGCTTAAAGCAAACTGTAAAACTGAGAAATAATAAAAAATAATAGCTCTGTAATCTCACATGACCACCAAAGCTTGTGTTGTTCTCACATAATTTTAAGTTCTTCAGTGGTAATAAATGTTTCCTTTGGTGTAGTCACCATGTTGTTTCCATTTGTAGGCAGCGATTCTGAAGTGGTGCCTGAAAGGATGGAAAATGGGAATATTTAACAGTTTAAAATAGCAGCATGTTTTAAATGTGCAGATTTAAAGTAAATGGGTCAAAAAATCAAGTAAAGCCAGACTGATTTATCGGTAGATTAATGTTATTGGCTTGTAATCGCTATTTGC